GTGGGGGGGGGTCTCCAGGAGCCTCACTTGTCTCTAGAACTGGGGTCACTTCTCCAGAGAGCCCCTCACCATTCTACACTCCTGCTGTTGCCATGGAAACCTGCTCATCTTAGCCTGCTACCCAGGATTCTGCCTACCCCACTGAGGACATTGTAGGGGGAGGCACAGGGGGGACAGGGGTCCCTAGAGCCACAGGCTCATGACTACTGGTCCCCACAGCATTACACCAAGGACAAGGGTGCCATCTGCACCAAGCTGGTGAAGCCAAAGAGGAAGCAGGGCACCAAGTCGGCCGAGGAGGAGCTTGCAAAGGGTATGCTAGGCACCCAGGAGAGATCACCTTATGCATACCAGTCCAGACTCAGCCTCCCCTCCCACCCCAGCCTCCCACCTTGGCCTTAAACCCTCAGCCCTGTTTTGGTTAAGTCCCTGAGTCTTCCAAGGCGGACTGTCACATGTCTTCTGTGGGGTCTGGAGTCCCAGAGACACACCCATGATGGAGAGAGGTGTCTGTCCTGCTTGAATCTTCAGAGCCTGGAATTAGATAGCTTTGGGGTGAGAGAAGGGGCTTTCAGAAGCGACTGCAGGGCATGCGTGGCATGCAAGAGCCCGCCAGAGACAAGATCAGGAATATTCCAGAAACTGTGTGCGTCTCCGTATTTCTGTGCCTCTTGTTTTGTGTGTATCCCTGAGAGGTCAGTAATGGGAAGACCAGGCTTGGAGGGCACAGAACAGCTACAGTCCTGTTGGTAGAGGGAGGTCCTGAAGTCATAATTGAAGTCTGGCGAACCTGGTGGGATTGAGCTCTGATGGTCTCCTGGGACAGTCTGTGGCTTGCAGGGTTCTAATCTGTACCAGGAGTAAGGTGTACACTCCATACAACCTTGGGGCAACTCCTGGGGGTGGGCACAGGCATAGGTGTACACAGCTGTGGAATGTTGGCTTTCCACATCTCATTGCATACAAGCTGGGTGGCAAGGGCTCCTGTCCCGCATTGACCTGGCCTCTCTGTCCCTGCAGCTGGTTGGCTACTGGACCTGCAGCACCTGACCCTGGGAGCACAGATTGGAGAGGGGGAGTTTGGAGGTGAGGACAGCATGCAGTGCTGTCATCTCCCAGCTGGACAGTGCAGGACAGGTGTGGGGTGTCAGGAGCTGGGGCAGCAGCCCCACCCTCACATCCCAGGACCCTCCTCCTTGCCTGCCTACATTATCCTGGGACTTAGATCAGAGAATGGTAAAGAGCACTTATGCCACAGTCCACCAGCCTTTCCATCCTGAGCAGCCGGAAACTATGCAAACATGGGCAGGACCTGTGGGCTTTCTCATGGAACAGAAATTTGAATTCTGAATAATGAGACAGCCATTGTATTTGCATTAATTATTTATTTCTCTCTTTGGGACCAGAGATAGAACAAGAACTTCGTAATTTAGAGCCAATACTCTGCCTACTCCACACCCCCAGTCCCTCACTGGGGATTCTAGGCGGGGCTCTACCCTGACCACGCTCCCAGCTTCACAATGGGGGATTCTAGACAGGGATGTCAGCAGGTCCGTTTGTATGTCTGTCTTGCTGGTGGGACCTGAGCACCATCCCCTCCACAGCTGTCCTGCAGGGTGAGTACCTGGGGCAGAAGGTGGCCGTGAAGAATATCAAGTGTGATGTGACAGCCCAGGCCTTCCTGGATGAGACAGCAGTGATGACGTGAGTGGCCGGGTGGGACTGGGTCCCAGGGCCGGGGTCCCACGTGTGTATTCACTTCCCACCCTGCACCCCCACCACACACTCCCAGAAAGCTGCAGCACAGGAACCTGGTACGACTCCTGGGCGTGATCCTGCACCAAGGCTTGTACATTGTCATGGAGCACGTGAGCAAGGTGTGTGGGGCAGCCGAAGGGTGGATGGGCAAGGGTAGCCCAACAGCCTGGAGACCTCCGGGTCCCTCCCCCCAAACAGGGCAACCTGGTGAACTTCCTGCGCACGCGGGGCCGCGCCCTTGTGAGCACATCTCAGCTCCTGCAGTTTTCTCTGTAAGTGACATTCCTTTTAGGAAGGTAGGTCCCAAAGTTGAAGGGGAAACTGAGGTCTGACCCGGCCTTGTCTATCCCCAGGCACATTGCTGAGGGCATGGAGTACCTGGAGAGCAAGAAGCTGGTACACCGGGACCTGGCTGCTCGAAATATCCTGGTCTCTGAGGACCTGGTGGCCAAGGTCAGTGACTTTGGCCTAGCCAAGGCCGAGCGGAAGGGGCTGGATTCAAGCCGGCTGCCAGTCAAGTGGTCGGCACCTGAGGCTCTCAAGAACGGGGTGAGCAGTGTTCTACCCTACTGGAGTTTTGGGGTTCCTCAAAGGGAGCTCGATGTTATGGTTGTATTGTGTGATCCTATGCACATCCCTTGACCTCTTTGGACTTTGAGGGAAAATGGCTGCCACAGCGTTTCTCCTGGTGCATTCACCAGCCTCTGATTCCCCATCTCTGAAGCAGGCATGGACTTAGCATGGAGGGGAAGACTAGTCTAGAATTGTTTTCAGGGAGGCCACAGGGAACCTGCTCACCCTGACCTCTGCCCCCACAGCGGTTTTCCAGCAAATCAGATGTCTGGAGTTTTGGGGTGCTGCTGTGGGAAGTTTTCTCATATGGAAGAGCTCCATACCCTAAGATGGTGAGCACCCTAAGATGGGGAAGGGCAGCTGGTGCACCCTATGCTGCTGACCTCTCCACCCATGCTACATGTCCTGTGTCTGCAGTCACTGAAGGAGGTTTCAGAGGCTGTGGAAAAGGGTTACCGCATGGAGCCTCCCGATGGCTGCCCAGGCCCCGTGCATACCCTCATGGGTAGCTGCTGGGAGGCAGAGCCTGCACGCAGACCTCCCTTCCGAAAAATAGCAGAGAAGCTGGGCCGTGAACTCCGCAGTGCTGGCACCACAGCTTCCCTTGGGGGACAGGAAGCTGAGGGCTCAGCTCTCCCACGGAGCCAGGAACCCTGACCCTGAAGCAGGGAGTAAGAGGACACAGGTGCAGGGCCAGGACTGGCCAATACACGGGCTCTGCAGCCCCTGGAAGCCCCACACCCAGGACACCCCATAAAGAGCAATTGGAAGGCCTTCGTACTTTTGTGTGTCTGTGACTCCCATGTGTCCGCCACCAGCTGCGCTGGGCCATCAGAGACCTGCACAGCCAGCTCCCTGCATTTGGTTGTGGCTATCTCACCCTGCCGCCAGGGGCCTCAGAGCCCACATGATTGTTGATGCCTGTGATATTGCCCAAAGTCCCTGCCCACTCTACCTGCATTGGCAGACTATCCTTGCCTGAAGCACCTGCCTTAACAGGTGCATGGGGGCATGGGCTTTTTGGGACAGCCAGACTGGGGACCCACTTGTCATCAGCAACCAGGGCCCTACTTCCTTCATCCTCTTTTCTGTGTCACCTGCTGGGAAGGAAGCTGGAGCCACTGTGTCTGTTTATGGAGGCTCTATGGAATCGAGCCTAACAGGCGGTCCCCATGCACGAGGGGGTGCCAGGCTGGGGTGTGGGGTGAATGAATAGGATGTCCATGTTATACAAAGAACAGAGACCTGAGAGAAGGTGGCAGGGTGCAGAGGGGACCCAGACTTTTCTGGATCCAAGGCCAAGGTGCTTTTCTTCCATGGAATTCCAGAAACCAAAGCAGAGCCAAGCTGGGCGTCAGAGGCTGGGACACTATCTACCCTCACATCCCATCGACCATGCAGACCCTGACACAACCATCCATTCATCCACCTTACAGACGCCCATCCAACCATGCATGCCCCCATCTCCCCAGCCACCTGCTCTTCTACGCATTCATCCAACCACACAGTCATTTAGCCCACTCAGCCCCCAGCCCCCTATCCTGCTATTCATCTACTCAACCCTTAGATCACTCATCCATTCAAAGCCACTAGCCCACCCACCCACCCCTCTATCGGCCCCTCTACAGGTGTGGCACATGGCCACATGCTGGGTGCTGATACTAAGCAGTGAAGGTTTCTCTTAAACTCAGTGGTAATCTCCATGCAGCTGCAAGGACCACAGGAGAGCTGGGGAGTGTTCACTGTGGTACGCTAGGGTTGCTATGTCAACAGAATGGCAACCTTGACCCATGTGGGAGGAGGAAGAGGTGCAGGTGGTCCAGGCAGAGGGCACAGCCTGTGTGAAAGGCCTAGCCAGGCTGTTCCCGGTGGTGGAGGCCATGCAGCTGTGGCTGAGGGCCAGGAGACAGGTGGTAAGAATCAAGGGCATCAGCCTGGTTCTACTCTAACCTTGGAAGGTTCTGGAGAGCCTCATGGAGCCACAGGGTATTTAGAGTAAGATGGCTGTGTCCTTGCCCCTCTGCCTGCCAGGCATCATAGGGCTGCTGCTGTATGTCCAGTGAGGCACAGGACACCAGGACAACCCAATGGACCCCACAAGCCTGGAAAGGGACGTGTCCCTGTCACCTTGGTGTTGACATGGCCTGCTGCACTGTTCTGCCCAGGCACTTTCCCAGTACCACAATCTCACCCATCTCTCGGTTCAGGAGCTCGTAGAGCCATCTGGGGAGTCAAGAGGAGCTTGGGTCATCTGCTCATGTCCTAAGTGGCAAAGACAGGTCCAGCCCTGGGGTCCAATAAAGGACAAAGAATCCACACCTCTGTCCCAGAAGGAAGGGAAAGGCAGTCAGTCCTGTGCCAAGCTCTCTTTGGTGAGTAGGGATATGCAACTGGCCAGGGGCCAATGTCACTCCCTTCCACAAGGGTCATCTAGCTGGAAGGTTCCAGGCCATGTCGAGTCACAGACCTCATAGTTGAAGCCCAAGGGTTTATTTAGCCTTGCCTAAGGCCTGGACCAACCCACCTGTCCATCAAGGCCTGGAGATGAGATGTCCTAGAAAGAGCCCACAGCCAGCTGCGGAGCAGAGGCCAGGGTGTACCATGTCCAAGCGCCCAGCATGCTTCCAGGTGTGACCTCACAGGGCAGCATGTGCATCCACTGCCATAGGTGTCTTTTATTCATTTATTTTTATATGTGTTCATTGTGTGTGTCTATGCACATGGCCTACACTTACAAAGACATACATGTGGAGGTTGGAGGACAATTTACAGGAGTCGGTTCTCTCCTTCCACCATGGGAGTTCTGGGGATTGAACTCAGGTCTTGATCTGGGTGGCAAGCTCCTTTCACCATTGAGCCTTCTTGCTGGCTCGGGCAGGGCAGCTTTCTGTGAGATGCTCCAACACCACACTATAGCTTCTTGTTCTTGCTTAGCCGGTTGTGACGCCAGATGTTCTGTTTGCGCAACAGTCGCCAGTACTCTCGGGATTCGGGTTCCAGCTCCTCCAGCTTTTTGGGAGGACCCAAGTTCATCTGGAATAGCCTGAGGGGAGAGTCAGAAATAAATACATGACCACCTCACGGCTCTGGGGTGTGTAGTCTCGAGCTGGGGCTTTGAACCCCACCAACTCTGGTTCTCAATGGCAGAGAACAAGACTAAGGGACCTGGCTGCCCCCAGCTCACTTCCAGTTCCCCTCTGTTCCAGCCACAGGCTTCCTCCCCACTCCCACAGAACAGGCTCTGTCCTGCCCCAGGATCTTTGCACAGGCCACACCTTCTACCCACTTGTCCTAGCTCCTGGTAGAAACCCAAACTGAAATGTTGTTGATAGCCCAGCCTGTACCCACACTGTCCCTGCCTCTCCCAATGTCCTGGGAGTGTAGCCCCCACGCCTGTCTACTCAGCTAGCTGTCTTGCTCCAGGAAGGAGAGAGTTCAGCTTTGGGCAACCCTTTGGGTCCCTGGAACCAGGTGTGGATAGCCAGGTATTAGCCATAAATCTCTGTCAAGCAAAACAGAGTCCCTGCCCCCTTCTCCCCGCAGCCTTCAGGGACACATGGTCCTGTGTACAGGCTCCCCATTTGCAAGAAGGAACACCTGGGCTTGACATTCAGAAGCTTCCAGACTAGGGGGGTGAGACTAGTGGGTCCTGGGGTGGCCCAGAGCCGTCCTTGAGTATTGTGTACCTGGGGTGTCCAGGTAGTTAGGTGGTCAGGTTGGGATGAGGTACAGCCACTCACCACTCGGGGTACTCCGAGTCTGGCTTCAGAGCCACATCCTGGCCTTCCTTGTAGATGTTGACCCCCATGGCGTGTGTGGTTAGCTGGGCGGGGTCTGTGCACACCTCAGGGTCCTTCAGGGCCTCAGTGGCCATGCTGCCCTTGGTGCCTTTGGCACCCTTCATGACTGCAGGGTGAGAGTTCAGGTCACTTCAGCCTGCCCAGCTCTGCTCCCCTGTGCCCACCTCCAAGAGGCTTCCTGGTGCTGAGGACCCCAGGTAACCCCATATATACTGGGGTCCCTTGTCATTACAGCACAAACCCTCCCTGCCCCAAGATTGTGGCCTAAAGGCCACAGTGTCAAGTGCTGGTGTTCAGTGATGGTGGCAAGGTGGTACATGCCTGTCACCCCAGAATTATGGAACTGAGGCTGGGGGATTATAAGACCCAGTCTTAAAACAACAAAACACTGAGACTAGAGAGAAGGCTCAGTGTAGGTCAGCCTGGCATACACCACACCCTGTGCCAAAACACAAACAAAAAAGCCTTATTTTCTGAGACACGATGTCACCTTGCAACTCTCCTGGAACAACATCAAAAAAACTTTTTTGTTTGCTTTTGTTTTTCAAGACAGGGTTTCAGCTGGTCAGTGGTAAGTAGCAAAGGCCTATAATCCAGCACTTGGGCAGCAGAGGCAGGCCAATCTCTGTGAGTTTGAGGCTAGCCTGATCCTACAAAGATACACAGAGAAATCCTGTTTCAAAAAAAACAAAAACAACAAAAGACAGGATTTCTCTGTGTAGCCCTGGCTGTCCTGGAATTCAGAGTTCTGCCTGCCTCTGCCTCCCGAGCGCTAGGATTAAAGGCATGCACCACCAGGGCCCAACTGAAAAAAAATAAAAAAATCTAAAAAATATTTGATGTCTTTCTGGCAGGCCTGGAATTCACAGAAATCCTCCAACCTTTCCGTCCCAAGTGCTGGTATTAAAGGTATACACCATCATGTTCAGCCTCAAAACATAATTTTTTTGGGGGGTTCAAGACAGGGTTTCTCTGTGTAGCTCTGACTGCTGGCTGTGGATCTCGCCTTGTAGACCAGGCTGACTTCAAACTCACAGAGATCCTCCTGCCTCTGCCTCCCGAATACTGGGCGTGCGCCCCCACTGCCTGGCTCAAAACGTAATTTTAAAGAATTATTACCACGTGTGGGGGGGCACTAAGCGCGTGGGTGAAGTCGGTCGTCTCCTTTCACGTTTACGTGGGTTCTGTGGATAGAACTCACGTCGCCCGGATTTCGCAGAAAGAGCTTTACACACTGAGCTAACTTTCCCACCCAAACGATTTCTTTTTAATTAAAACAGTAACAATAACAGCGACAATAATTGTTGCGGGTGTTTAATGTCTTACTCCCCGCGCCTGCGCACTGATGGCCGTGACCGAGCGAACGCGGATGCAGCGCCTGCGGTCACACATCGCTCGCACGCGCCGCTCGGCCACCGTTCTGCGCGCTGTAGTTTCCGGAGCCCCGCCTCCCCAAGCATCGCGCCTGCGCACTACGGCCTCTCTCGGCTTCCCACCGTGCCTACATTGGTTCCTCCGGAGCCGGCTCACCTGGCTTCTTGGCGTAGTCCCGGGCAAAGGGTCTTCCAGGTCCAGGGACGGGGAGAGCTTGGAGCTGACAGTAGGTCCACATCCGGGAAGCCCCGAGGAGACGGGTGGCCGCCATAGTGCTCGCCGGCTCGCACGTGCTTGCTTCCGTGCTACGTCAGCGCTCCAGGGCCACTTTAGGGCGTTGGAGGCGCCCGCGGCCTTCTGGGAAATGTAGTCTTAGCAGTCTAGTGACTAGGTTGAACTGTAGTTATCACCCGTTTAAAGAATATTTTAAACTGGGCACTGGTGGCGCACGCCTTTAATCCCAGCATTCGGGAGGCAGAGGTAGGCGGATCTCTATGAGTTCGAGGTCAGCCTGGTCGACAGAGCGAGTTTCAGGACAGGCTCCAAACCTACGCAATGAAACCCTGTCTCGAAAACCAAAAAAAGAGAGAGAAAATTCTTGTTCTTAGATTGTTATCTACTTAAAATGTCACAATAAGTCCATGCTTGTATCTCATGTGGAATTAATTTTTGAAAGCTTAAAAATAAGAACAGTAAAGCTGGGCGGTGGTGGTGAGCACCTTAAAACCAGCACTTGGGAGGCAGAGACAGGAGGATCCCTATGAGTCCTAGACCAGTCTGGGCTACATAGCGAATTCTAAGCCAGCCTGGGCTACATAGTGAGACCTGTAATGGAAGAAGAAAATGGGGTGGTAACGTGCTCAGAAATCCTGGGTTCCACTTCTAGCCTCACAGAAATCAAGGCTGGCAGCATCAGGAGGCTAAGGAGTTCGAGGTCAGCCTAGGTTACATGAGACTGTCTCAAGAACAAACAGAATCCTAATAGACTCTTCCAGACTCATTACTAAACCGTAACCGGCTGCCCTCCTTCAGTTAAGCTTAGGGACTATTAGTGTGGGCAATGATGTATGATCTAGTGTCCACCCAAATCAAGATTGTGTAGTAGTGCACGCCTTTGGTCCATTTAATCTGGAAGGAAGAGGCAGGAGGATCTCTGTGAGTTCTAGGCCAGCCTGGTCTACAAAGGGAGTTCCAGGACTCCAAAGCTACATAGAGAAACATTGTCAGATAAACAAACAAGAAAACCTAGATTGCGCTGATATATATGGCTAATGGGACCCAAACCATAAGTCTGTCCTCAACAACTTCTACCCACACCTATCCTTTTCTCCCCAAATCTTCAAATCACATTCCCACTTCTGTTTCCCTTTCTGGTTTCTTCCCTTGTCCCACCGCAACTGTTTGCGTCCGAAAATTATCTGAACCTCAGTTTTAGAATAGAAATGCCATTTTGGACCACCCCTCTGTGCCTGGGGTCTCGGGATTCGAACCCATGCTCTGATGTCCATGCTGCAACTCTAGAGCACTCTGTATGGCCAGAGCGGCTCGGAGAACTACATTTCCCAGCAGGCATCGTGAAGGGCGCATGCGCAATAGTTCTGGGAGGGGCCACAGCCTGAAGATCCGGATCCAAAGCTCGGATTGCAGGGAGCTGCTGAATCTCCTGGAAGGACAGACGGACCTGATCATCCTGACCCGGGCCAGAGGCACAGGTACTGCGGCCTGCGCGGGACAGGACGTCTCCCATGGGGCGACTCGAGACCGGCGCCTGAGTTCTGGGGCCGGAGTCCGAGGACCCAAGCAAGACCAGTGTCCCGAGTTCCAAGGGCCGGTGTCCGAGTTCCAAGGGCCGGTGTCCGGAGCCCTAGTTCTGGGGACTACAGTCTAACTTCTTGGGTGGGTCCTGTGTAAAATAGGGACTTTTCCTCCTGTGCAGGTCCCATGGGGAGTGAACCTGTCACCTCTAGTACCATGGCTTGTCTAAGAGATCTAGCTTGATGATGCCAACTTGAACCTGGGTTCCAAGCATGGAGTTCCTGTCAGCCCCCCAGCACCCACCAGGGGCCCCAGCTATGGACTTGGAGGATCCCAAAAGCCCCGAGCTGCCCTCTGATGACCAGCCCTCTAGCACCCAGTGGGCCTCGGGGTCCGGAGAGCCTGTCACGCCGAACGAAATGGAGCTGGACGCATCCGGTGTGCAAGAACTGGTCCAGCAACTGGAAGCTCTGCCCAGTGACCTGGGTGGCCCGTTCCCAGAAGGAGAGCCCTGTCCCCTGCACATTGCCACTGGCCAAGGCCTGACCGCCCAGGAGAGTGTGGATGCTGGTTGGCTCTTGTCTGCTGAGGCGGGCGGGGGTGACTTTCTGGGTCTGCTGAGGTTCGAGTCATCTTCGCCTGCCCAGCCAGGGCCTGCAGATCCTCCACAGACTGCACCCCGCTTGTTGCAGCCACCTGAGGACCCAGATGGGGACCGGGGATTGCCAGGGTGGATGGAGGGGAGGTCGACAGAGCCAACAGAAAGCAGGAGTTCCAGCAGCTCCCCCGAGCCCTGGCTGGAGACAGTACCACTGGTGACCCAGCAGGAGCTACCTGCGATTGCCCAGGTAACACTTGCCCAACCTTTGACTCCTGCAGCCTGCAGCACTGCCTGGGGACTCAGCCCTCTCTCTCTTCTATCTTCCAGAGCCCTGAGACCCTGGCCTCATGCCCTGCCATCTCTGAGGGTGAGTGTCCATTCTCACATGGGACCAGAATGTTCTAAACAGCCCAGATGCGGACTCCCAAATTTGACACAGTGTTTGACTGTAACAATGAAGGTCTAAAGAGAAAGGCTGTGTTAGAGCAGATCCTAGATGGCCAGAGAGATCTTATAAACTGGAGAATACCCTAGAAGCCATGTGGGGTTTAGAGCAAATTTTGAGGAATGGGGAGACATCTCAGTGGGCATAGTACTCAAACACAAGGACCTGGATTTGAATCCTTGTTGCCTGCCCAAAGAGCCAGGAAAGTGGCAACCTGTGGTTCCCATGTCCAGGAGGTGGTCACTGAAGATCCCTGAGGACCCTGACACCTCCCTAAAGGCTGTGGTGGCCAGGGGAGCCCATTCGGCTCTGTATCACAGAAGGTTCTAGAATCACAGTTAGTGCTGTGACTCATCTCAGGAATATCTAAGCTCAGTTTTGCCTGGGATTGCATAGGCCTGAATGTTCTAGAACCACAGAAAGAACAGGGTCCTACTCAACTAGTGTTAATTAGAGCCCCAGCTGTCAGCTTTGGGGCAACCTGGAAGTTGCAAAATAGCACCTGAGTGAGATATCACCCACCTGATTCCAGCATGAAGGAAGTTGAGGCAGAATGGCAGGTTCCACACCAGCCTGAGCCCCATATCGTAGGACAAAGTAAAGAACTACAATGGTCTGGAATTAATGAGGAGGATGAGGAGGGATTGCCCGAGGACTGTTGAGGGCCTGGGCACCCTGGGCTGACGAGTGAGATTTCTGGGTCACTATGGGGAAATGGCCTGGACCTTTTTCTTTCTTTCTTTCTTTCATTCATTCATTTATTTATTGAATGGGGCAGGGAAGGGGGTCAGAGGACAACTTGTGGGAGTTGGTTCTTTCCCACCATGTGGGGTCTCAGGTTGTCATGCTTGGCCTCATGTGCCTTTACCCACTGAACCTCCTTGCTGGCCCCTGCCTGATTCTGGTATGTTAGGAGTTTGAGACACCACAGTAAAGCCATGAGCTTCTAGCCCAGTCAGAAGGTTCTAGAAGAGTGGTCTGTGAGCCCTGGGTCCCACTGAGGGTGACATTTCACAGGGGTCTGGCAGTGGCAGGTACAGAGCTGGCTACCATACACTGAAGCCAAAGCCCTGTGAATTCTTCAAGAACAGGTGATGGAGCATGGTGGGTCTAGCCTATGCTAAGTCCTGGGACAGAGCCATGAGTTTCTTGAGCAACAGCAGCTCAGGATTTGTAGACCCCCAGAGCCCATGGGACACCTGTGGTGGATGGGCCTGGCTGCATCCCTCCATGTCACTCACAGTTCCAGGTCCCTGTGGACAAGAGGAGCTGGTGGACGGTGTCATTTTCGCGGCAAAATACCTGGGTTCCACCCAGTTGCTGTCAGAGCGCAGCCCACCACCCAGCATCCGCATGGGTCAGGCGCAGGAGGCCATGGACCGTGTCAAGGTGAGCCAGGATGGTGTTCAAGGTTCTGCAGGGTGTGGTGTTCTGGACAGCTACGAGCCCGTGTCCCACTTCCCTCCTCACAGGCCCCCGAAGGTGAGACTCAGCCCATGGTGGAGGTGGACATCTTTATCTCCACCAAGAGGGTCAAGGTGCTAGCCGCTGACTCCCAGGTACCGGGAGGGCCCGGCCTTGGCTATCATGGACACTTGGGGTTCCCAAGAGGCCCCCTAGCCCACCCAGCACGTGTCCGCAGGATGCCTTGATGGACCACGCCCTGCAGACCGTCTCCTATATTGCGGACATTGGGCATGTGCTGGTCGTGATGGCCCGGAGACGGCTGGCCAGGAGGACCATGCCCCAGGATCGCAAGCGGCGTCTCTACAAGATGCTATGCCATGTCTTCCACTCAGAGGATGTGAGCAGCTGCGGCACAGGCCAAGTTGTCCCCCCTCCTGAGTCTGACTCAGAAACTTTGAGGTTTCATGAAGGTGTGGGCCTTGGAGCCAGGGCTTTGTAGGATGTGAAGGAGCTTGCTGTCCTCCCACAGGCCCAGCTCGTTGCACAGGCCATCGGCCAGGCCTTCAGCATCGCCTACAGCCAGTTCCTGCAGGAGAACGGGATCGACCCCACCCAAGTGGGCACGCAGCCGTCGGCCACCAGCCACCCGCACAACGGTGACCTGGACCACTTCTGCAACAGCCAGAACTGCAAGGAGGTGAGCAAGGGCTCAGCCTGCTGAGGCCTCATCCTGGCACAGTCCCCAAGCCCCCCAGACCTGGCCCTAGCCTTGTCTTATAAAGGGCCCTTGCTGAATTGGGTCTCACCGACCTGTAGGTCCTGGGGGCAGAAGTGGGTGCAGGGCTGCAATGAGGAGGTGTACAGTGGGGGTGTGTGCTGTGTGTGGGGGGCTTACTCCATCAGACAATGTAGGCACAAGGATGAGCAAGCCCTATGCCCACCCTACATGCGACCCCGCCCTTCACAGAACCCAGCTCCCCCCTCGCAGAGGCCTCGCCTCCATGCTGAGACCACACCCAGTCTATTCCCCAAACCCCTCCCCCGCAGACCTGGCTCCACCCTGCCCATCTCCATGGTTTGTAGATTATTTGTTGAGCCCTGCTGCCCCTTAGGTTCCACCCCCACACACACATCACATCCGGTCCCCTCACTGAGCCTTGCCCCCAGGTCTGCATCCAGAAGTGCCCTGGTGAGGGCCTGGGTGTCGCCCTAGTTGAGTCCGGCTGGGGCTCACTGCTGCCCACCGCCGTCATCGCCAACCTGCTCCACGGAGGCCCTGCCGAGCGCTCCGGAGCCCTCAGCATTGGGGACCGTGTTACTGCTATCAACGGGACAAGCCTGGTGGGGCTGTCCCTCGATGCCTGCCAGGCTGCTGTGCGTGTGAGTCGGGGTCCTTTGGGGACCTGGCCCAGGGGCGGGAAGGGGTGGTTGTAGGGTGTACAGGAATCAGGTAACAAGGCCTCAGCATGGTGTCATTGATCACAGCCCCACGTTCCTTGGGTGATTGACGGGTGGGTAAACTGAGGCCTAAGCATTATGGTGGATCCCTCAGGAGGTGCGGCGACACTCATCAGTGACACTGAGTATCATCCACTGCCCGCCCGTCACTACAGCCATCATCCGCCGGCCCCACGTGCACGAGCAATTGGGCTTCTGTGTCGAGGACGGCATCGTGAGGCCGGAACCCCTGGGTTGGGCATGGGGTGGAGGCTAGCCCAGAGGTGGGCCCTGAGCGCTATCTCCCCCAGATCTGCAGTCTGCTGCGCGGGGGTGCGGCTGAGCGCGGGGGTGTCCGCGTGGGACACCGCATCATCGAGGTCAACGGGCAGAGTGTGGTGGCCATGCCCCATGCGCGCATCATCCAGCTGCTCACAGAGGCACGAGAGGTGCGCTTGGATGACCCAGTCACCCCGACCCCTCCACCTGACTCCTTACTTCTGACCCTGTCACCCCAACCTCACCTCTGACTCTGTCACCCTGACCCCTAGATTCACATCAAGACCATGCCAGCTGCCACCTACCGGCTGCTCACTGGGCAGGAACAGCCGGTATACCTGTGACCGCCCCACCTGTGTGCCTTTGTCCCTGCTACCAGGACTGTCACCCCACAGCCCACAGGGACCCCAGAATCCTCAGCCTTGTATTATTTTCTAATGTTAAAAAAAAAAATAAAGGTTTATTAAATGGTCAAAGGTTCCGGGTCCTACAGGGTAAATTTATGCTCTAGGAAAGGAGGGTTTGTGACCTCAGGTCACAGGTCCGTGGCTGGGCCCCAGTCATAACCATCATCATCAGAGGACTCAAAATCCCGGGCTCTCGTGAACTTCTTCCTCAGGGTTTCATGCTCATAGGTCCTGGGGGCAGAAGTGGGTGCAGGGACGCAATGGAGGAGGTGCATGGTGGGGATGGGGGGGGGTGTACTGCATGCCAAATTCCAGGCTGACTTCATCAGGCAATGTGGGCAAAAGGATTAGAAAGCCCAGGCATTTAACTGTGCATGGGAACTTGGGAGATGACTCATATATCCTACAAAGCCCCAGCCCCAATGCCCGTTCTTTCAGAAAACCTTCTTTCCTGAGGACTCTCTGTTCTTAAGCCACTGCGTGGAGTGGAGTGGCCCCATTGGCTATCTTGGGCCCCTCACTGGTGCTTACCGCATGCTGTCCTGGCGCCACTGGCCCTGGGGGCGGCAGCTTTCGGCCTGGAGGGAAGAGAAGGACTGTGACCTTGCTGACATGCACAGAGGGGGATATGGGGTTTGAGTCGTGACACCAGATGCACAAGAGGGTTCCACTTCCCCACCCCTCGGGGCTGTGCCCACCCGCATGTCCCACTCGGCTGTGATCCCCTCCCACGCCGGCTCCGAGGACCGGGCCAGAGCTGGGAGTTGGGGTTCCTCATCGGCGTCCTGGGGCCCGCTGCCCTCGCCGTCCGTGTACACGCCGTCTGTGTCCTCATAGTCGCTGTTGGCCCGACTGTCACAGCTGAGGTCTCCAGAGCTGGCATCCAGGCTGTGGCCCGGTAGGTCAAGGTCCTCGGACGAGCCGTCCAGCTGTGGGGACAAGGATACTGTGACCCTAGGGAAAACAAAGGCCCCTACCCAAATTCCAGTCTCCGCTACCCGGTGCCCGGCTACCCATGGAGGTCTAGCCTCGCACCCCAGGACTTCGGACCAGTGGTTCAACTCTGACCAACTCCTATGCATCCCATGGAAGTCTCAGCTTCAAAGCTCAGCCCTTCAGGCTCTCTTCCTTCCCTAAAATACCTTGGCTCGGGGCTGGAAAGCCACAACCTGGTTACTTAAGGGGTTCACCCAGGCTCAGCTATGACCTCCCCCCCCCCCCCGTTCTCTGGCCCCCTCACCTACCTGGTCCTCCGCTGTCCAGATGGGCCGCGCTTGCTGCTGCTGCACCACGGCCTTGACCTCCTGGTACCAGGAGTCACCAGTACCGTGCAGGGGGACTGTGGCTGTGAGGATGGAAGCTAGACGTCAGCCCCAGCACCCCTCCCAGCCCTACACACCTACACACCTACACACACACACACCCGTGAAGAGGTGCCCGCTGTGTTTCTGTAGTTTCTGCGCCTGCGCGTACAGGCGCCGGGTGCTGCGGCGCGAGGCGGGAGCCAGCCACTCTCGCAGGGCCTTGAGCGCAGGGCGGCTCTCAGGGGCGCAGAAGACCACGATGGGGTAGTACTGCACATAGTTGAGCCGCTCAATGGCTGACGGCGTAACGTCCAGGAGCGCGTGCTTGTCCTGAGTCACAGGGTGGTATGAGACACGTGAGGGGTCCATGGGGGCAGCGGATGGCCCCCCATACAGGCCCTCAGTTTCCCCATCCCTGTGCTTACCCTCTCTGCGATCACCCGCACAGTGTCCAGTTTGATGATCTTGGATGGGTTGTCAGCCCGGGACACGCTTTCTGAGGAGGCAGGGGGACACCACTGTCACCCACGATGGTTCAGCCCTCCCCACCCTACTGGGACCCTTGCGGAGCCCATCTCCCCCTACCATAGCTTGTCCATTGCACACTAACTCCAGCCCCTCCCAAACCCTTCTACTCCTGTCCCTGTGGAGCTTCCTTTTTCCTGGATAAGTAATATTCCACCGTGAAATTTCCAGTACATTTGGGCCAGTGGGGCCCAACTTTCCATTCACCCGCACATCAACCTCAGCTGATGACTAATGAGGTGGCAGATGACTTTGCCCTTTGAACACCACCCAGCCTTCTCCAGGGGCCTCCTTTCCAAGCACCCTGAAACCTATCATATCTGCTTCCGTGTGAAGCGCACCAGGCCTCCCATTCCCCCAGAGCCACCCATACCTGCTAAATGCCCACTCCTGAGCCACACCCACCGCCCCGTTCCCCCTTTTATTTAATATATTTAAAGATGGAGTCTGATGTCGCCCTGGCTGGCCTGACCTTGGACTCCTGATCCTCCTACCTCCACATTTTGAGTGCTGGTGTGACCAGTGTCACCAGGCCCAGTTTATGCTGGGATGGAGCCTTGATTTGAATACAGGTTTCGTTAAGTTGACCATGCTTTCCTGAAACCTGTTATCCTCCTACCTCAGCTTCAAAGCAGTAGGGATCACAGGTGAGATGGCAGATGTATGCACAAATAATTAAAAGTGAACCAAAAGTAAAACAAAACAAAAAACTGAACAGCTCTTCATTGAGCCCAGATTGATTGAGAATGTCTGGCTCCCTGGCATTGAGTACAGTGGTTGCTGTAAGTTTCGATTGATTGAGGCTGTGCCCCCCACACCCCCACATGTGTAGGTGGGTGATGGGAGCTGACACTGAGGCTGTCTGGCCTGGGCACGGTGGGTAGAGGGTGGGACACCCCTCGCAGCTGCTCTGACTCTGCCCCCCAGCTTCCAGGATGCCATGTCTCACCGGCAATTTCAAACTGGTCAGGCATCTCTGCCGTCAGCCTCTTCATGGCAATGTCGGCCACTGGCCCCAGGATCACCACAGGGCGCTTGAAGCTGGCTGAGAAGTGGAGAAAGTGGCATGGTCAGGCTCTGGAGTCGGAGTGCTCAAGCCTGAAGCCCCGGAAGCTGAGGCAAGCTGAGTTCAAGGCCGGCAAAAGAAGAAAGTTCTATCTTGTTTCTGATCCTATTTGGGACTATTAGATATGGAACAGACTGACAGGAAACTACGACCATGCTGTACCTAGCACGAATCAGCTTGATTTTTTCAAATCAAGTTTTTTGAGATGCCTTCTGTCTGTCTGCCCAGTCTGCAACCAACTGAGTGAAGCTGGGCTGAGAACCAAGCATGCCTTAGTTTTTTGTTAGCCATTAAAAAGGATTTTTCTCTTTTTTTTTAGCAATTCATTTCGAGACAGGGTTCTCGGTATAACCCTGGTTGTCCCAGAACCTACTCTGTAGCCCATGTTGGCCTCAAACCCACAGAAATCTGCCTACTTCAGCCTTCTGAGGGCTGGGGTGACTGACAGGCTTGTGCCACCCACCAGAACTGAGGTACTACAGAGAAAGCAAGCTATGGCCTTGAGGCTCTGTAGAGGCCCCCCCCCCACGGCCACCCACCTTCTCGAAGTACCACACGTTCATAGGGCGGGTAGTGTCCCTGCCTGGTCAGTGCCGACAGGTCCTCGCGGCTCCTCTGTGTCATTTTCTTGGCCCCTCGGCGCAGACCCCTGAGTCTCCAGAACTCTGCCCTTGGGTTGGAGGCCGAGGGGGCACCTGGACCCACACCTGCAGCCCGCTGTGCTGCCTCCAAGCTGGCCAGCTGCTCTGCCCTGTAGACATGTGAAGAACAAGGCATGACCCTGGGGGCTTGTCCCCTCCGTGACAGGGCAAAATCAAGCTGAGGACCCTGAACTGGGGACCCAGTGACACCATAGGGTTCTCAGAAGGAGGCAGGAGAGGGAGATGATACGTTTCTGGTTCTGGAGAGGATGGGGCCACAAGCCAAGGGATATGGGGATTCTGGATGATGGTGCTTGAGATGGGTTGGATCCTGGGAGGGAACTCTGCCTCAAAAATGAATGAATGAATAAATGAATGAGCCCGAGCCATGATATCTGTGCTCAGTTATTACAGTGGCTGCAGCACACTCCCCTCACCCCACCATGACTAACCCCAGGGAGCCCTCAGCAATGGGGAAACTGAGATTCGAGCCTGGGGAGTCCCCTACCTGCTCTGATTGGGGATGACTCCACGTTCTTGTTCTTGGAAATCTCTGCCCATGCGGGCTGCCAGCCAGAGGCCCCCACGGCCACTGTGGCCCAGCCCCGAACCTGGGTACAACGTGTCCACCACATGGAAGACATCACCTCGGGTGAAGCCCAGCCCATAGGGCGGGCTTGGCTCCAGCTCAAAGTGTGTGCGGATGTAGAAGGAGTCACCTACTCGGGACTGGACCATCTTCCTGAAAACTAAGAACAGAGGGGGCTCATCACTCTCAGGGGACCTCACTTAGGCAGACACAGGGCACTGTCCCTGAGGCGCCTGGGGAGAGCCCGGGCTCGGACTCAACAACACACTAGCTTAAGGTCTTTTACTTATTGGAGACAGGGTTTCTCTGTGTAGCCCTGGCTGTCCTGGAACTCCCTCTGTAGACCAGGCTGGCCTTGCATACAGAGAGATCCTCCTGCCTCTGCCTCCCTTTGTCAGCCAGCAGAGGCCAGAGGTTGGCATCAGACTCACTGGTTCATGCTCCTGTCTGCACAGCCCGACCTGGCCCAGACTGTGGCCTTTGGGTTTTCACGTGGGGGCGGGTGCCTGTGGGGACACCTCAGGCACACTCACTGTCCTGCTTGCTCTGTGTCACCAGCTCCATGTCCTCCCCCGGTGGCAGCTCCAACAGAAACTCCACAGCCTCTTCCCTGGTCAGATTCCGGAACGGCATGCCATTCACCTGCCAGGAAAAGTCTGGTAAGAAGGTGAGGCTGGTGACCAAGTTACTGTGTGTCACACCCCAAACTCTGCCTCCCAAAGGTGCCTCACCTCTGAGCCTGAGTCTTACTCTTTGGCTGAGTGTCATACAGAGGACACTCCTCCTGGGGAGGAGCCAGGCTCAGTGCACATAGCCAAGTCTGAAAGTGCAGGTGCATTAGGGGCCAACCCCACCGCACCTCCATGGAAAACTCTCCGGGGCTCATGAGAATGCTGTGCAAACATGAGGGCCCCAGGTAGAATGCCTGGTGCACACAGGGAAAGCCAAGCGTGGGAGGCAGAGGCTGGAGGGAGGGATAGCGACTTCCAGGCAGCCTGGACTACAGTCGGGATGAGTCCCCAGGATGACACATGAGAGAGGGAACACCAGAGGGACCCAGACCCACATTCCCAGGGTCCCTGTGTCACCTGCAAGATCTCATCGCCTTCCTGGATGCCCTGCCCGTCTGCTGGGCTGCCCGCCTGCACCCCGGACACAAAGATGCCCACGTCGTTGCCACCGGCCAGCCGCAGGCCAATGCTCGAACCCTTGGGGAATCTCACAACACGGGTGTCAGGGCTGTAGCTACCAGAGAGGAGGGTGATCAGGCCATGGTGGTGCAGGTGCCTTCACCCCTACAGGCCTTGGGTCCCCCAAAAGCCCAGATGATATTGCTGACATCCCACCAGCAGGGAGTTAGGGTTACATGGGCTCCAAGGGTGGTTGCACGATGTGGGGCTCTGGAACCACATGCTCATCTGAGGTACCCACCCACGGTCCTCCAGGCTCTGCCGGCTGGGGACCTTGTAAATGTCATAGCAGCGTTCTCCAGGAAACTCTGCAAGAGAAACTGAATGCCTTCACTCCTTCAAAGGACACAGAGCAAAGAGCCAGCCCAGCAGGGAGCTTCTTGATGGAGACTCCACCCTGACCACGCCCCAACACCTCACTGGGGGATTCTAGGTGGGGCTCCACAGCCTCAGCACCAAGCTTGGCCCTGCCTTTCACCCTTAGGTTCACAGCTGCTGCAGGTGAAGGATGTCCCAGCTACCATTGCTCACCTGGTTCAGCAATGGCTCTTGAATCCACTGACTGTCCCCTCCTCCGGGGCCGGGGGCTCTCCCTGGGTGGGAAGAAAGTCTAGTGAGTAGGGGTGCATTTACATGGCCCCCCACAGGTGCAGGGTCACCTCTGCACCTAGGCAGAGAGTGGGGTGCACAAACACAGGTGTGGCCCTCCCGGCCAACATGATGCACTCACACTGGGGAGTCTGTGTGGCTCGCCTCAGGGCTCTGCTGACCCTGTAGAGGTGGTACAGGGACGTGGGATGGAGGCGCCTGGGACAACTCCGAGGTCAGGTCTGAGATGTCTGTAGGGAGGAGCAGCCAGGGTCACACCTGCCTCAGTTCATATCATCCACATCACACTAGGGGACACCCAGTGGCCCCTGACCTTCACAGAAGGCAGCCAGGACTGCCTGTGGCTGGTTCTGAGCCTCCAGGAGCCAGGCTTGAGGCTGCTCTCCTCACCTTCCATAAGGGAGCTGTCGCTGTCACTCACTGCAGGAGGGATGTTCACCAGGAACTGCGCACTGTCCCTTAGCACCAGCAGTGTCAGCTCCCCCTCTGACTTCTCAATGAGCTGCCGTGTATCACTCAGGGACAGATTTGCACTGGACACCCCATTGATCTGAAAGGGGCCAGGTGGAAATAAGTGACAAGTGTTAAGAAACAGTGTGAGGTTGAGGAGGGGATTAGAAAATAGTTGGCTTGGTGCAAGGTTCAGAAACAGCAGGAGGATTGGAAATAATTCCTGGAACTGGAAGCATCCATGGCATTGCTAGCCTTGGCCTCAGTTTCCCCACCTGAAGCATGCATAACCCTGGGCTCACTTGCAAGATAAGGTCTCCTTCCTGCAGCCCACGGTTCCGAGCAGCAAGACCAGAGTCTGTGATGTGTTTTATGAAGATCTGACTGCCCAGCTTCACTCCAAACTCTGGAGGGGAGAGGAGGGAAAGAGACAGGACTCGAGCTAGAAGATCATTTAAGCTGGCTTTAAAGTAACTTGTAATCCTTCTGCTTTAGCATCTAAAGTAGATAGGTGGGCTGCACACCGACCATACCCCAGCCCCTCACTGTGGGATTGGGCTCCACCCTAACACGCCCCCAACCCCTCACTGGCGGATTCTAGATGAGGTTCCACCCCTGACCACGCCCCAGCTCGAGTTTTTGGGGTACATTCAGGCCCCTTACCTTCGCTGTTCCTTCTCTTCACCAGCACGGACTTGAGTGGCCTCATGAGCATGTCTTGCTTCGGCAGGCGCTTGTAGCCGGACACCAGGTCGAGTCCGTTGGGCTCAGATCCGCCACCTGAGCTCCAGCGCCCATGGCTGCCTATGCGGCTGCGGCGTCCTGTCCTGGTCCTTCGAGAACGCTCACCCCAGGATCGGCCCGAACCACTGGAGGAGTCACCCTCGTAGCCACGGCCGTGGTCAGCTTCTTCTCGGTCTGAGAGCTGGTGGCCCGGCGATGCACTGGCCTTGGTGGCAGGCAGCTGGACCCTGCGGGGACGCTTTACTGTCTGTCGGAGGGAGGGAGGAGAGATGTAGAAGAGGTGGGAAACAGGGACCACAGAGCATCCAGTCCCTCTGAGTTCAACACCAAAGCTGAACTCTGTCATCTGATTGGGCCAGTGTGTGACTGGCTCCACCCCTAGCCCAGCAGCAAAGCATGCCTATCAGCCTAGGATGGCCAATCACTACTACTACACAGGGGGTCAAGAATGAAAGACCCGGGGCAGGAGAGATGGCAGAACAGCTAAGAGCACAGAATTATCTCCCAGAGAACCCTGCAGCAGTGAGTTCTAGGTCTGTACCTTTTGCACTGACCACGCCCACTGGGGGTGGGGACAGGTGCGGACCTGAGGCAAGGACCCTGGAGCCCTCTACTGCTTGGAAGACAGAGACAGAGAGCATCTGGATGCATCCTTGGGACGGGGAAACTGCTGGCGTTCATCTGTCTGTGTTGTAAGTTATTTCTCCCTGAATAAACATCTATTCAGCATATCTGTTTTTCCTGATCCTTATTATTCCACGATAGAACCCGGGTTCAGTTCCCAGCACCCACATGCAGGTGGTCTCATGGATCAATATAACCTCTTCTGGTGTGCAGAGATGTCCATGCAGACAAAACACCCACATACATAAAATAAATAAATCTTAAAAAAAGAAAAACTAGCCTGATGGTTGTAGTGCATGTCTTTAACCCCAGCACTTAGGAGGCAGAGGCAGGCAGACCTCTGTGAGTTCAAGGCCAGCCTGGTCTACAGAATGAGTTCCAGGATAGGTTCCAAAGAAAGCCTGTCTCCCCCACAAAAAAAAAAAAAAAAAAAAAAAAAATTAAGATCAACCCGGAAAATAGAATGAGACTAAGAAAAATAAAAAGGAAAAAGGAAAAAGACAGCTGTAGGTGTGGTCAGGGTGGAGCCCCTGCCTAGAATCCCCCAGGGAGGGGCTGGGGGCGTGGCCATGATGGAGTACAGACTCTAAAGCCCTTACGCTCCATTCTCAGTACCTCTAGAAAAAAACACTAATGGATGTCTGTGTAGTTCTACCTGCAGCATCAGGACAGCCTGGCTTCCTGAGTTGGGACTCAGTTCCCCACCCTATGTCCACTCACAATGTTGGCCATTTTGGTGCAGGTCTTCAAAATCTGGATGGCGAAGGCAGAGGTGACATTCTCCACGGAGACCCCATTCACCATGACGATGTGGTCCCCAGTCCTGAGGGAGTGGCCCCAGTGAGGACGCTCAGGGATACAAGCCCAACCTGGTTCTTATATACTTTGTTGTTTCTATCATGGCTTCCGGTGTTTTCTCTCTTTAGTCTTTCTGTCTCTGTCCCAGTGTCTCCCTCCCTCGCTTCATCCGCCTCCCCGAACCACTGGAGGAGTCGCCCTGGTAGCCATGGCCGGCGGCCGTGGTCAGCTTCTTCTCGGTCTGAGAGCTGGTGGCCAGGCTGTGCACTGGCCTTGGTGGCAGCCCCTCAGGGCCAGGAGCCATTTCCCTGCCGCCTTGCCCTGGGGCTCTCTGCCCTGCCTCTGGGACCAGGAAGTGTTAGGGACATCAGGCCAGAGAAGTCAGTCCCTGTTGGCAGAGCTGAAGGTGCCAGGTGCTTTCTGTGCCCTACGCTGCCTGCCCGCCCCACACTACCCAAGGTGGCCCAAGCCTCACTGGAGCCTGCCCTCGGCGGGGCCTCCGGGTATCACATCGGACACGAGCACAGATCCGCTGGCCCGGTTGTGGCCTCCAGAAACAGCGATGCCGAAGCCGCGGCGGGGGTCCTGGGGGGACACAGACCACGGGGGACGATGGGGGGTTACCTCCCGGACTCTGGGGCTCCCGCCCTCGGAGCAGGCCGCAGCTCACCTTGCACAGCGTGGCCGTGTGCTGTTCCCAGATGGTTAGCTCCTCCATATCTGCCACCTGTGGGGACAGGGAGGGCTCGCAGGGGCCAGAGAAGGCCAGCTTTCTCCCTGTAGTCCTACTGCCTCTACGGCCCTCCCTCCCTCCGTCTTCTGCAGCCGCAAGGGTGTCCTGGCTGACCCCCAACGCCAGCCTCCATGCTGCCCTCAGGCTGGACCCTTCTTCCAGATCTGCCTTCCCAGCTCCTGGGTGAGGTGGCCCTGGTACACACCCACCCCCAGAACTGAACCCCTCAGGACTTCATCTTAATGTCACATGGCCCAAACTGGCCCACCCTCTCAGAGCTCTGTGACACCCCCCCCCCCATTTCTCCAGTTCTGGTGGACTTTGGCTTGCTTTTGGGGGTGGGAAGGGGCAGGGGGCGTATGTCTTGCTCTGTCGCCTAGGTTAGCTCCAAACTCATGGCCATCCTCCAGCCTAGGTTTCCTCCGTGATGGAGGCATCACAAACCCTGGCAGATTTTCCTCAAGTGGCTGGGAAAGGTGTACTGCCCCAACTATGAAATTTTTATTTCTTCTCTTTCCTTTAAGATAAAAGGCTCCCTAGGATGCCAGGGCTCCTGGGGGGTAGAGAAGGGAGGGGAGGGGAGGAGAGGCAGGTGGCCGGCCTGTCCGGGACTGCCAAGCTTGTCCCCCGCTGTGGGCTGGTCTAAAACTCTCCCAGGCTTCCCAGGGCCGTAGGATTAACCTGATCCTGGCTCCCCGTCCCTGGCCCTTCCACAGATTTCTCTGCAGTCCTCCAAGGGTCTGGCCTTTTCGCTTAGCTGTGGAACACAGTCACTAAGCCTAGGCAACCTGCCGTCAGCTATAGTTCTTGGCAAACTCCTATTCAGCCTGCATAGCTCCAGGGCTACAGTCTTTCCTCTGCTTCCCCCATACACATCTGAACCCCTTCCCTAAGTCTGGGGTGTCACAATCTAATCCCGTTTCTTCTACAGATCCCCGGCTATGGGCTCTCAGGGTTTGCTGGACTAGGAGCTCTCGGGACTTCATTGAGTCCCCAAGGCGGAGAAAGTGGGGGAGTGCTTGAAACTAGAGCAAAGCGGTTTAAACTCGCTCGTTCCCAGACCCTCAGCCACGCCTCCAAGTGAGCACCAGGTTCCGCCCCTGCCACCTGTGGACGCAAACAGCCGAAGGGGAACGCAGCCCAAGGGGACCTGGAGGGCCGAGGCATCTGCTGGGGTGGGGTGGGGGTGGGGGTTGGTGGACACTGGCTGCCCGCCCCCCTCAGGCCAGGTGCGAGGGAGGAGGGCTTGGGACAGGTCCGGGGAACGGGGCCTGGAGGAAAGTCATTCCTCCTAGGCATTCGCAAAGCTTGGTGACCAAGCAGCCACAGCCTCAGTTTATCCTTCTGGTGTGTGGAGAAAGAGAAAGTTCCCCAGAGTTCCCAGAGCCGGTTACAGTCACCCCATCCGTCAGGCTCCTTAAAATGTTCTTACACAATAGGTGCTCTATAAATGTCAAGTACAGAACAAAGCCAGATCACACACAAGCGGGTCTCACTGTCGCAGTTGGATTCGAACTCGGGGCTTTTGGGGGGCGAGATCAGAGGTTTATCTCCCAACATGGCCCCAGGCTAGCCCCCACCCCAGGGCCTCAATTTCCCTGGCTATTAGGCAGGCAGACATTGTTTCGAAAACCTGGTTCGCACTCCCACCCCCTCCCCCGTGCTCCGGGGCTACTCGCCTGGAATCTCACCGCCATGGTGCACAGCACGGGGTCTGGAAACTGTCACCCGGAGCCCCCACCTGGAGCCGTAGGGGCTCTGAAACAGCCCTTACACCCCACGTGGGGTCAGGAGGGTCGCAGCGGGTCAGAGCCGCACTCCCGCTCCTGCTGCACCTGCTCTTCCTCCTTCAGGCCAGCGGCCGCCCCACCCCGCCCCAGAGAGCCACGCCTCTGCCCCCGCCGCTCCGGTCCAGACATGTGTAATCCGGTCCTGGCTTTCCACACAGCCCTGCTGAGCCCGCGGCCCAGGGCAGAGCGGACTGGCGGGGTTGCCTGGAAAAAGCGGATGGGACTCAGCCCGGGCCCGGGACGGCTCTGCACCGATGTTTCCCTCCCGTGGAAAGGACGCGCGTCGCGCGGTCGCTGTCCACCAGGGAGGTCCAAGGTGGGGTAGCTTCGTGAGGGGTCAGGAAGCGGCGAAGAGACCAGCGTGTGGGGGGCAGGGACATCATAGTTGGGGTTCTGAAGGTTGGTTAAGAGTGGGGGGGGCCAAAAAAAAAAAGCCAGGTGGTATTGGCAGCGCCTTTAACCCCAGTACTAGGGAGGCAGAGGCAGGCGGATCTCTGTGAGTTCAAGGTCAGCCTGGTCTACAGAGTGAGTTCCAGGATAGGTTTCAAAACTACTGAGAGAACCCTGTCTTGAGAAACAAACAAACAAACAAACAAAAAAAAAACAAAAACAAAAAAACAACAAAAAAAAAAAGGTTTGCGAAAATCAGAGACTATCTCGATCTCCTGTGTTCGAGTTCCCCGTGGCGGCTCCTGAATGGCACACCCTCCCAGCTTCTGTGGGAACTGCACAACCCTTGAGAGGTGGAGACTGGAGCTCTTGAATTTGAGGCCAGCCTAGGCTACAATCTCTCTCTCTCTCTCTCTCTCTCTCTCTCTCTCTCTCTCTCACACACACACACACACACACACACACACTCACTCAGAAAAAAAGTACACCAAGAGAACCTCCTCAGGTTCCTGGACCGCCCTGGTGGCTCTGCCCACATATTTCTCACTTGTAAAGGGAGCCTGAGCTCCACCTCAGCCCAAGGTCAAAGGCCAAATCTGGGCATTCTTTCACACACACCCCACCCCTCCTCAGGTGTCTCCCCACAGCTGAGTGTGTGAGAGAGCCTAAAGCAAAGCAGAAACTGTAGTGTCCTGGAGAAGGTGGGCATGACAAGGTTAGTGAAGAGTTGGCCAAAATAATCTCATCAAAATCCTTAGGCTGATTTGGTGCTGCCTTTAGTCCTGCTAGGGAGGCAGAGGCAGGCGGATCTGTTTTCTAAGCCAGCCTGGTCTACAGAGCAAGTTCTGGGACAACCTGGGCTGCACAGAAATCCTGTCCCCAAACCAAAACTACAGGCTTGGTGAGCATAACCTTCCAGGCCCTGGAACCACCCGACCTTTCATCCCACTCACCACAGAACGAATGTTGTGCCAAGATAGGTCTGTTGGTGACTGGCAGGGTTGGAGCCATGGCCCTGGCTCTTTTGCCCAATCTGTGTGTGCTTGAGGAATTAACTCCCCCTCTGTGTACCCACTTCGGCATCGAGCATTTCCGTCCTGTGCACGCAGGTGGACTAAAGGGACACCCTGGGAACCTGCCACTGAGTGGCCTGTGCCTCAGTTTCCCTAGTTGGAAATGGGAATGACAGTTGCACCTGTTTCTGAGGGATAGGAACTTGGAGCAGGTTCTGTAGTTTCCGGACAAGGCATCACTCTGTAGCCCAGGCTGCCTGAAACTCACAGAGATCCCTGTGCCCCAGCCTCCATAGTAGCCAGAGCCGACGTGGCTCCCTAAGACCCATCCCCAGCTCTGAGTTCAAATCCAGGGTTTAGGCCTGAGGCCTGTCTGCAGACTCAGCACCTCCAGCAGGCCCAAGGGAGGAGTCATGGGCTCCTTCCAAAGAGGCAGTTGGGGGTGGGGCTTGCCTCCCAGAGTTTGATCTCGCTCTGCAAACGGTGGAAGAACTGACCCAGGCAAGTTGCCCTCTGACCTCTGCATGAGCTACAGCATGCATGCACCCCCACAAACAAATATTTAAATATTTAGGAATTTAAGTTCTAGCATACGACATCTAGAGAAACTGAGGTAAGAGTGGAGGGCTGCTATGGGGGTCCTGGGGAGAGCGGGGTGGGGTGGTTAGGGGGCCTCTGAGAGTGGGGGCCTCGGGATGGAGGGTACAGGAGGGGGTTGCTGAGGGTTAGGGGGCGCTGTGGGGTGGGCTCTCCCCTCAGGCTACAGCTGAACAGGTCTGACCAGAACTCAGAGTGCTGCTATCAGAGGCCAGGGTCAACATTTACACTGCCCTCAGGAGGAGCAGTTGGTCCTGGGGGGAGGGCAGATGGGAAGGTGCAAGACCCCAGGGCAGGGTGGAAGGTGAGGACCAACTCCCAGGAGCAGGCTCCCTCGGTTTCCGAGTGGACCTGCAGCAATGCACTGTTGATAACAAATAGGGTTTAGACTGTGCGAAAAGCTGGGGTGGTGGCACACCCCTGTCATGGGGGGGTACTGGCTGGGGCAGGGGGATTGCTGTCAGTTCCCAGCATCCTGTGCTGCAGTGAGCTCCAGGCCAACAGTGGGATTTCCTCAGGGACATCCCGAGGGGCTTTCTAGGAGCTTGTGACTGGAATGCTGGGGCGAGAGATTCCAGAGAGGTCCCCAGCTGCTCACTCCTTGCCTCAGTTTCCCCATTTTGATTCAGGCTAGCCTGGGCTGCCCTGGGCCTGGTCCACTGCATTTGGGGCTGCAATACCAGCTTCATCCACAGGGGCATGTGAGAACCAGGGCTGGTGTCTGGTGTCCGTGTTGTACCCCCTCCCCCCAAAACAACAGTCATCAAACAGTGCCTGAGGTCTTCCTCACAGCTTTCTGTTGTTTGGGGTTTTGTTGTTTCTGGTCTCAATATGTAGACCAGGCTGGCCCAGAGAGCTCACTATGCAGACCGGGGTGGGGGTCACTCAGCCTGTAGCTACTCAGCCTGTAGCTGTCTGTACCATCACATCTTGCACCTTCCACTGTGTCAAAAACCTTAGGTGTCCTCCGGGGGCTATTTGTGCATTTATGGAGTGCCTACTGTTTGTTAAATCTTATTCTAAATAGTGGGCATACTTCAGGCGTACACAGACAAAAGGCCTTTTGAGGAATAAAGGGGACCCATGAGCAAGCAACTGACAAGTAGTGTCTCTAGCTTCAAGAACTGGATCCTGAGACCACTTCAGTACTTTAACTTCTGGACAGGGTCTCTGTGTGTCAACTTTCCCGCCCTGCCACTGGCCTGTCCCAGTCTCAGAGCAACACCCACCACCTGCTCCTTCCTCAGTCACCCCTCATTGGCCACCAGAGGGCGCCAGCTCCCTCCTGTGAACAGTCCTCCATGGCTCCCACCTACCTGGGGACCTAAGTCCCAGAGGCTAACCAGGCCCCACTGGCCCCCTTCCCACACCCCTCCCCTCCTCCCACCCCCACTACAGCCCCCCCACGCCTGTCACCACCCCAGATATCAGTGTGGGCAACTCCTCATGTCCCTCAACTATCTGCTCAGATGTCCACTCCACTCCCCCCACGCTCCCAGCTCCCGGAGAGTCCTGTGTGGTGGTGCACACCTGTCATTCCAGCTCTCAGAGTGGAGGATGGAGAATCAGGAGTTCAAGGTTATCCTTGGCCACTTATGGAGACATACCAGCTAAGTGAGATCCTGTCTCCAAAAAAAAAAAAAAAAAAAAAAAAAACTGAAAAGATAAAACTGAATTTCTTGTTCCCAATATACCTGACACACAGTAAATGCTCAATAAATGGATGTGGTTGCTTAGGCAGCCCGTCTCCATAGCTGTGTGTCCCACTGACCTGGGCCATGCCAAAGGGTGTTGGGTTCTACCCTGAGCAAACATTGCCTCCCTGGCACTCGGCCAGGCCCAGGAGGAAGGACTGAGCCCAAATTCTCTGCTTGGACTTTCCCCAGAGTCAGGGCCATACGGAAGTTCTAAGTTGGATAGGCAGGGATTTTTCTAGATATGGACCCTGGGGTGTTGTCTTAGGGGTCAACTCAGAGGCCTGCCTCTGGGACAATCTTGGCTGTGCATCACCAGGAAAGTGACTGACCCTCTCTGGGCCTCAGTTCATTTTCTGCCAAATGGTGACCCGCCTGCTCCAACATGTGTCGCTCTAGCTTTGGCTAGTCTGTGGTACAGAATGAGAAACTGAGGCTGGGCTAACAATACAATGGCTGATAGCTTCAACTTTGAAGGTGAGGTCCAACCTGCCGCCCCAGCCTTCACCTCTGGCGGCTGGACACACCCTCCTTAAGGAATTGTTTTGTTTCTTCCTTGTTTAGGGGCAAATGACCCAGAAGCAATTCTTGTCATCCTTCATTTCCCTGTCAGGCATCTGCCATGCCCCTCACCTTATAATTTGAGGCCTGTCTTCTTGTGTCTGGATCCCCACAATTTATAACCTGGGAAGGTGACACCTAGGAAGGTGCCTTGGAAATTCGGGGTGACTCTTTGGGACAATTCTAGATTAATCCAGACTTAGTCCAGCTGTACTCCAGCCACTGTCAGAGGCTGCCCAGGGGACCTTGCTGGGGGATGAGCAGCAGGCACCTGCGCTCACAATGACCCTTTGAAGGCTTAGCTGCAGCGTCCCGGGCACCATGCCAGGACAGAAACTGCAGCCGCACAAAGTCTCAGAAACTGTGTCAGATGCCCACGCAGGATGGCGGCTTCCGGCTCCCCTGGGAGCACGCAGAACCAACTTGGGGGTCCGGGGAGGGAGCCTGAGATGGGGCCATTTGGATGCATAACACCCTCAGGGTGAACTCAGCTGGAGACTTACCCGTCTGGAAGGCTGAGTGGAGGCAGGGTGGGTGGTGGCAGCTGGGTCCTGGATGCCCGGCTGGCATGGGTGGTGGGGAGGAGGGCCCAGGCTGGCTGCTAAGGCCCGACGACCTGTTTGCTCACCCCAGCGCCCTGGTGGAGTGGAGAGAACTCGAGCAGTCACGTCCCTTTGCCGGGTAGAACCGGCAAGACTGCGCAATGGTGAGTGCGAGAGAGAGCCCAGCCCACAGGTGAGAGGGAGAGGCACTGTTGCAAAGTACTCTCACGTGGCAGGACAGGCCTTAACCCCTGAGCACCCAGAGGCCTACCTAGGCATGCTCTCCACAGCACCCACAGGGGCCACAGAGTAGGTGATCAGAAGACACTGATCACACTAAGGAATGAATGGGCTGTGCCCCTTGGTGTAACCCACCCACTGTCAAACTTCTTGCTTTCATTACAGGGGCGACACTAGACAGATCATCAGAACTCGCGGCTGAGCCACGCCCCACCCCTCACTGAAGATTCTAGGCTGGACTCCACCCCTGAGCCATGCCTAAGATTTTATCCTTTGTATAATAAGTATTGACTTCCCTGTCTCTAGATCATATCTCTCTGGCCCCTTGTGACTTTCCAGTTTCAGGCTTTTTTTAAAAAAAAATAATATATTTATATGAATTGGTTTTTTTGCCTTCATATGTATCTGGAACTGGAGTTAGTTTTGAGTTGCCATGTGGGTGCTGGGAATTGAACCCAGAGTCGCCTGGAAGAGCAGCTGGTAACTTAACCTCTGAGCCATCTCTCCAGCCCCAGGTTTGTTTGTTTTTGTTTGTTGTTTTTAATTTGCTTCCATTTGATTTGATCACTCATGACCTAATTTCTCCCTATAATGCCCCAAGGATTCATCCACATCTCTGGAGGAGTGGGTGATGTCCTCTGTAGTTCCTGAGGCAGGAAGGGTTCAGACTCAGACTCTGCAGCTCCAGGGACCCCCCACGTTTAGAAGTGGTGACATTAGTCAGGCTGACTCGGTTATGCCCATGCGCTTTCTGGTGGAATTGTCTTGGTGGGCAGGAAGGGGTGGTCACGCCTGTGGTCTTAGCACAGGGGAAGGTGAGGCAGGAGAGTAAGGGTTATTATCCTCAACAGACTGAACTATATGAGTCTCTGCCTCAAAGAAATTTATTATGTATATTAGAAGTGTTTTTTACTGACATTTTATTACTTTACAATGTAAATTATTGATATAAATAAATATATATTATAAAGTAATATAATATTTTTTAAAGTCAGGTTCCCACTATGCAGACCGGTTTACAGAGATTAGCAAATCCGCCTGGGGCGTTCCTGAGCCTTATATCTGGGCTCCGTCCTCGATCTCCGATTGGGTGTGTTAGGCTCTAGGTACTGCCCTATCTGCGCCCCCTGCAGGCTTTCTCCCCTCAGGTCTCTGGTTTATTCGAACCGCTCTGTTCTTCCTTCTCTGGACGCATGGAGGCATTAGTGAGTTGTACGTCACTTTAGCCCCGCCCCTGATCTCTGATTGGTCAGGTCCCGCCCCCTGCTGAAGCTTCTCCCTCCGCCCTCTGAATTGCACGTGAACAGGAGTCCTTCCGGCTCCGAACGCCTGAGGGCGCTCGCGACTCTGCTGAGTGGGCTCCGCGCTAAGCCCGTCCCTATTTCTGATTGGTTAAGATGTCCGCGTCAACGCCAAGCTCCGCCGAGACCCCGCCCCCGCGCGCCGGCGCCCCTCCCTCCGCCCTGTGGTGCCGGCGGCGCTTGTTGTTCAGCGGCGGCGGCCGAGCTCGGGTGCATCCTCGGGCCCGCCGCCGCCGCCGGAGCGCTTGGCCATGGAGCTGGAGGTGCCGGACGAGGCGGAGAGCGCCGAGGCGGGGGCCGTGACGGCGGAGGCGGCCTGGTCTTCCGAGAGCGGGGCGGAAGCAGGTAACTCCGGCACCCCCGTCAGGGCGATGGACTCGCCCTGTTGCCCCGCCGTGGCGCAGTGGTTTTGCCCGCCCGCTCTGCGCGGTGCTGCGGCCCGCAGGCTGTGCCATTCACACGCGCGGCGCGGGGGTGCGCGCGCCCTCCCATTCCTTGTGCGGGGGGAGGAAAGGAGTCGGCGCTCCGGCCGAGGAGGCTGCACAGCCCCGCCCGAGGATACGGGGCTGTCAGCACTCGGCCCATTTTAGGGTCCTCGGGTAACACGGTCGCTTCTCAGGCGCGTGTGGGTGCGGCTCTTTATCCTGGTAGACTGTGGAGGAAACGAGCCCCTTTTAGATGCATGCGGTAGCTAGGATAGCAGTCCACAGGTTTGGAGGTAAAGGGGACCTGTTTGGGGGAAATCCTCTTGCTGCAGACGATGGAGACAAACCAAACATACTTGCCTCTTTGGGTGTGTGGAGAGTGGATTCTCCACAGTGCGTGGGATGCTGGAGCACCCTATTCTAGTCAGGGGACCCCCACCTGCGTGCCCTGCCTGGCTGGAAGGGCGAAAATGCCCTCCATGCGACCCCCTTTCTGGGGCCACCATGCTGGGCTGTCAATCTTGCAAGTGTCACCTTCGGGTGCCTCCTTGCTACACACCACCAATCACCGATTTGTGGGCCTCAGTTTACCTCTCTCTAAAACGTGGGGGGGGAAGGAATGTTGTTGAGTTGATTTCTCCATCCTGGCTGTGTGAGCCAATGTCCTGTCAACCCCCAATCTCCCAGACTCTTCTCCCTGGACCCTGTCTGCCATGCTAGCATAGCCTGTGGGGCCACCCAGCTTCCTCGTGTCCCCTCTCTTATCCTGAGCAGCCTCTTTGGGTGTCCATTCCGCAGGCAGAGCAGTATTCACAACTGAGAGAACAGAATGCTCCCTTCTCCATCGAGGTCACAGGAACTTTCAGGATTCACAGAAGCCTAGGCTCCTCCAGCCGCATTTCATGGCTGACTGCTGCAGTTAGGTTGCTGTGGCCTCACACAAACATCCAAGGGTCTCCTCAACTGTCCTTGTTGCACACCAGCAAGGGGGAAGGAGCCAGGCAGCCAGTGGTCCCCAGCCCCAGGCTCTCAACACCATCTACCTCATGGAATGTAGTGGCGATGAACCTGCCTCTTGTCACCTGCCCTCCTCCATTGTCACCTGGTGTCCTGGTGACATTAGTCCCTTACCATGCTGGAGGAATTGTGTAGGGGACAGCAGAGTCCCTCACTCACTGTCCACCTTGTGACCAGTGTGGCCGTAAACCTGATAGGTCCCACGGCAACCTCAGAGCAAACATTTCCTCCTCATGGAGCCTTGGTCATCCTGACTGGGGACTGATAAGCTGTCTGGAGCTTCGACAGGGTCTGTCACTGACACTCCTGACTCCAGACCCCCAGGGGCTGTTCCTCCCGGAAGCCCTTCTTTTTGTATAGAGTTCTGTTAAGTTAATCATCCACACAGAATCCCGTAGCAGCTGTGTGTGGGGAGCACTCTAGCCCTGACTGCCTAAAGGAGTCATTGTCGCTGGTTATGTAGCATTTATTTACCACAAACTGCATACCTGCCTCCACGAGTCCCAAAGGTCCCACAGCCCTCTCTGTTGACCCTTTCTGATGGCTTCTGTCTGTTAAATGTGTGAACACAGTGAGTGTCCAGGGTTGGTGCCCCAGTCATGCAGTGACTAGAGGTCAAAAGCAGGCAGAGCGAGGCCTCCCCTGATTCTTCCTGGAAAGGCTGGTCTCCCCTGCTGCCGGCCAGCCAGCCTGCTATCTGCTCTAGTAATTTCCATCAATCTGACGGGATGCTAACCTATCTCAGCTTTTTAGAATCTAGTTACATTAAGGACTTCTTGCTCCAGAGGTCTGGTCTTAGACTGACCTGGCTCACCTCTTCTTGTGGTTGCTGGGATCCCTGTGTGGTTTGTGGGTGCATGGAATGGCTACGGAAGGCTGGGTACTTAGAACACCTAGGCTGGTGACCTGCTTGGGCTGTGGTGTGAGTCTGTTCCTAAACTTCATCATTCCCAACCTGCCACTGCCTCCTCCCCCATCTAAACTGGCAATGAATTATGTATGCTTCTAAAATCACCCCAGAGTCTGCCCACGTCTCTTACGCCCTCTGCCTCCACCTGGTCCAACTTTACCCTTCTTCATTTTGCTTCCCCAGCTCTCCCATTCAAAAGAAGCCCGTTAAAAACTTGCTCAGGGCCCTCCCTCTGCCCACAGCCCTGACCTATCCTTCTTCCCTCCTCCCTCCCTGCCCCTCACTCTCACTCTCTGGAACCGCAGGCTCTCAGTATTCCTCAACAGCACCAGGACAGGGTGGCATTCAACAGGTGTACTGTGACTGCCAAAGTGCCGGGGTGGCCCATGAGATGCCAGGTGTAGCAGGAAGAGGCGGTGACTATGACATGGTCAGAACTGATGACCTTAGGGACAAAAGGTTTAATCAATTAAGTCTTGCCCTAGGTGTCCTCATGAGATCCTTACTGCCTCAGTCTGCCCCATGGAGAGAGACACTGGGGCCCTTCATTGACTAGGATGCTGGGATCAGCATGCTGATATGCCCAGGGCCAGGATAAGGCCAGGGACCTGGGCTGGACTAGTTGCGGCCCCCATGCTAGTTTTTGTCAATAAAGTTTTATCGGCATGTGAGCATGCCCAAGTTCCCACAGGCTGCCTCCCTGTTCAGTTGTAGGGCCTGGCAGTGGCAGTTGAGACTGCTGGCAGCATGGACCCACAGGGCTTCCTGAGAAGAGTTTGCTGAGACTCAAGTAGGAGTATGTTAGATAGGGGGCAATCCATCAAGGTGGGACCTGAAGGAGAAGCAGCTGCCCAGGCAGGGGAACCCTGGTTCCCGGTGTGGAAGGACACACCTGTCATCCCAGCACTTGGAAGGTGGAGGCTGGAGGGTCAGGAGCTGAAGGTCAGTCAGCCTGGGCTACATACTTGCAGCAGTTAGTCCTCTTTGAAATACCTTGTGGTCCTGGGGTGGGACTCAGATCCTCAGGCTTGGCAGAAAGCTCCTTTACCAACTGAGCCATCTTGCTGGCCCAGTACTGACCTATCTTGAGGAGTTCACTCATTCTATGCCCAGTTTGGCTGGGACTGAAATGGCGGGCTGTGATGACCAGGGTCATCATCAGGGGCTGCAATGGCTAGAACTGGCCTGGAACTTTTGCTTATCGGGGTACACAGGAACCCAGAGGATTTGGGATACAGCTGGCCCAGAGCTCTGAGCTGTCTGTGCTCATGCATATATGTTGCAGGTTTGGGATCCAGGGTTTGGTCATGGCAGCTGTGTCCCTTAAGAACAAGTGTGGTGGGTGCACAGGAGTACAGAGAGATGGTCAAGGGCTCTGGTGGGCTTGAGTGGACCAAGAGTCAGTTGCTAGGTTTCTGCTCTTCTGTTGTGGGGCCAAGTGGCACCCTGTATCTGGTGACTGTAGGTGGAGACCCTGCCTTAGGGAATTAGCTCAGAGCCAACCACAGGCTGACGGGCTGACAGACCCTGTTCCATCACAGGCCTTCAGGGGACTTGACTCCCAACACTGCCAGTGGCTCTGTGTGTCTGTCTGTGTCAGGAAGCAGGGGAGCAGGATATAGGGCACACGTAATCCCCAGCCTGCAGTGACAGGGCACTGGCTGGAGGCCGGGCATGGCATGCGTGCTGAGCAAGCTTTGGATCTAGCCGCTCAGCTGGGGCTACCCGGCCTGATTCCATGAGCTGGTGTTTCGTTTGTTTTGTTTTGGAAGCTTTTTGCCATGGTGGTCCTGTTGCCCTCACTGTGTTCCCATCTTATATCCCTGGCTGTTTTCCTTACTCACCCCGAAGCGCCTGACTTTTGGTCCTATGCCAGTCACAACTTTGGCCTTGTTTTCTGAAAACTGCATCTTTTCTGCTTCCAATTGTGTGATACTTTGTTGGTTTGTAGGAGCTCTTTGTATATTATAGACCCTTCTCTTTCATCTGTGATGCCAGTATGCATCACATTGTTTGCTCTTTTGGTGGCTACTGACCATCAGCAGATTTTAGTTTTTTTTATTGTCAAGTATGTCTGTCTGTCTGTCCCAGTCTGACATCATGTATAGAAATTTTCCTTCCTGAGGTTTTAACCTAGTTTCTTACTCTTCTCAGTTCCCTCTTTGTGTTTTTTGTTTTATGTAACTCAGGCTAGCCTCAAACTCACTATATAGCAGAGAATGATCTTAAACTTACAGTTCTGCTGCCTCTGCCTCTACCTGCTGGGGTGACAGACCACCACACCTTGTTTACATGATACTGAGGATGGAGCACAGGGCCAGGTGTATGCTGGGAGAGCGCTCTGCCCACTGAGCTCCAGCCCCACTTTTTTTTGGGGGGGGGGCTTGAAGCCTAAGCTGGAGACACAGCAGGACAGATGACCAGGACAACTGCCTGTGGGGAACACAACCAGCTGGCCGCATGTCCTGGAGGGAGCACCCATGTGGCCTGGAGGCTTGGCGGGCCTGTGCTGCACTTGCTCCCCTCAGACAGCTCAACAGCTGTCCTGGGAACACCCAGCACCTCTCTGGAACAGAAAGAGGAAATCAAGAGGTGGCTGTAGTGGGAGAGGTAGAGGCAGCCACACATACCTCAGGCCCTTAAGGGTCATGGGGGACTATCAGAGCAGGGGTGTGGCAAGACGGGGACAGGTGCAACTCCAGGTAGACACTGGGACCTCACAGCCCTCATCCTCCAGGGTGAATGTCCCACCACACAAGACAAACCACGTGGGTCAGCTCTGGTGCTAGACAGAAGCAGGGCCAGGCAGGGCCACCAGGCTGCCCACAACGCTCAGGGCCAATGGCAGAGAGAGGAAAGACTCCAGAGTCTACCCTGAAGGCAGCCACTATCAACATCCCAGGTCAGGGGCTGGGCTGTGTCCCTTCCCATTTGTGGGGTGTCAGAGCCTTGCTGCTATTCACAGCTGAGTAATACTCCATTTGGGGATAAAT